CCCATGCCAGTTTGAAGGGGCTTAAGTTTAACACAGACTTTGACACAGTGTTTCTTGGCAGGAATTAATTTTGTAGAATTGATATGCTTAAACAAATTTGGGGGTTGGCAGTAGGGGTATGGGCTGACAGATAATACAAGTCTTAGAAAAAGATACTGTTGAAAGAAATTACACATGGATGATCCTGAAGTTGGTGCTTATATTTCTGCAACGTTCGACTGTGTCCTTGCTGCAACTGCATCAACACATCTGACCCTAAATATTAGGGACAGATGCAATCTATGTAGCAGTGCTACATGGATTGAATTTTGAGGGGGGAACTTAGCTATTTGAGGTGTCCTTGGACCAAGGACACCTCCAAAAGTTGCAGGACACCAGCCCTTGATGAGTGGACTTCAAGACTTTTCCACTGAAAAGAATCTAAAGTGTAGAACTATAAGCTTTGACATCACTTTATTCACCATCAATAATTTACCTTGAGCCCCGTGATGCCTGGAGTTTGAGTTCCTAGTTGAGAGTCTGGTCTGTATTTGGTCATTTGTAGTTCGAAATCTTACATATTAATATTAAACATAACTGAAATGAAGTATTACTAATGAGGGATTCTTTGTTGTTATGATTTATTAAATCATTTATCTATTTGTGCGAACACACACACACACACAAAACTGCATTTTGCATGTCACATTTTCTACTTACTCAATGCCAGCCTTCTGATCCTTGTTAAACCTTGTAAGCGTCTGTGCTGTCGAGCAGCCAAAACAACAGCTGAATCATGCTGCCCTCCCTTGGTCACAAATTAACTATGAAGCCTGAGAACTGTTGTTCTGCCCAAGAGATCTAATTTAAGATCGTTGCTTCTTTTTTCCTAAAAGTTTAGGAAAAGAATACTTATTCAGCTTTGAATAAATTAATGTGATTGGAAACTCAGTTAAATCACAACTTTTTTTAAAATAACATATTCAAGTCTGAATGAGTTGCCTTTGCCCTCCTGGAGTGATTTTGGATAGACCAGCCACTCTATGGAAGGCTTTGGGGCTTCTTTGGGGACCCTGACCATTAATGTTGGACAAAGTTATATTCCACATCAGCTATTGTTTGGTGGTCTTCTTAGAAAATGTTACTCCATGTAGTGTATAAAATGTTTGTCAATATCCAGGCACAAGGAACAAAATGACCAAATTATCTCTAATTACTCAGTAGATAATTTAGGCCATCAAAAAAAGACCATCCCTGTTAATTATGAGAAAAAAAATTGAGAAAATATTCACTTGCTACTTGAAGAACATTCAAATAAAAAAATTCTTCAAAAGTATTTTTGAGATAATTGAATAATAGCATTGGCATTAATGGTTGCATAGCATATGTGTACGAGAAAGTTGAAGTCTTTTGATGATCTTGGTTCCTTTTATTCTATTTCTGAAGTATCTGAGTGGGTGATCTGTCTAAACAACACAAGGTTTTTAAGAAGAAAATGAGTTGACCTGAATCCAGCTGAAAATAACTCCCCAGGAGGTTTTATTTGGAACTTGCTCTGAGACAAAGGACAAACATTGACCATGAGGTTTGTGACATTTCCAGACTATAAATCCTAAAGAGAATAAATGGAAAAGAAAGAGGAAGAAAAGAAAAATCCTCTTAAATGAAATGACCTCACTTTGGCAGAGGGTACAAGTTAGGATAGGCTAATCTGATGAGACAATGATTTTAATAACACTGTAATTACTTTTGTTGTTTGGATTATGAGAAATATAAACTTGCCCAGACAAGTAAGATGCAAATGTGTGCAAAATAAGTAAATTTTTAAATGAACAAAGTATGAATCACACACATCCCTTTTAAAAAATATGGCTAGCAATAAAAAAAACACATAATTTTGCCATAGAAAGGGACTAGTAGAAGCAGATGTTAGTAGATACAAAGAGATCAACTGTGATGAGTTGATGCTGCTAAATACAGGACAGTGAAAGTCATTTCAAAGTAGCAGAAATGGCAGCAGATGAAGCAGAGAAAAAAAAAACTTCAGTGTTCTTGCTGTCTTCACATGAACCTGAGTCAAGCCTCCTGGAACATTGCCAATTATGCACATCTGGGAAATTGGTCCCAAACACACTGACAGCTGAATCTTATTATTCAGGTGAAATACAAAACTCTGCATGAAATTTAGTCATTTCTAAGAAAATGATCCTTACCTGACACAAATGGGTCAGGTAATGATTCCCTTGTTCACTAGTTCATATGTTCAAATGTCTCTTTGCAATAAGGTCTGATGAGGTTTGTTGCCTGTCACAGATATAAGCTGCCAACCAGCTGATTCAGAACAATGATAAATGATGTGAGAAAGATGATAAATAGTAATATATAGGGGATGAGACAGGTAGAGATATACAGACTGCTGTCAGTCCAGTGCATGGTTCCTTACAATGAAAACAGTTTGGGGGGGTGGATATTAATCATGCCAGATGAATGTCAAAGATCAGAAGCACTTTGAGTCTGTAAAAAAACATGATATGAGCTGCATGGAGCTGCAGTAATTAGCTTAAAGGCACATTTAGCCTTTTACAAAAACCTTTCAAAAGAAAGCAAGAAAAAAAAGGCAGACTCCAATCAAAAATAAATAAATAAATAGATGATATCATGAACAGAGTTTCTCTCTGTTAATTATTTGAGTGCTATTTAAACTATTTGAGTGCTATTTAAACTTTTGAACTGGGAAATTTTGGATCATCATCTTCTGCATGGAACAGTCAATCACATCTTTGAACTATTTCCACAACATGCCAAGTACCTTATGAATAAAGCTCGCCAAATAAAATACCTGAGACTCAATTCACAACCCTGAATGAGAAAAAAAGTGATGAAATTGTCCACAATGATATAACAACATTGAACAGACTAAACGCATACAAAGATGCTGGACCTAAAGATATTTTGGTCATAACATTGAAATCTTCTGCTGAGTAAGCAAAAGCTGCAAATATCTTTGCCATCTCTCACCAGCAGTCTTTTGCACAGTTTGTCCTGCTTTTTATGAGAAAGTGAATTCAACAACTTGTCAAGAGCCACATTAAGCACTCCTAACACCTTCTCTGACCCTCTATGTTTACATATCAGCACACAGTGTACTGAAACCAAGACACAACAGCAACATAGTCAATCAAATTAAAACAGGCATCCCTCAGGGGTACTTAGTCTGTGCTCGCCAAATAATCATTGAGTGTTACTAAACTCAATGATTCTGTACAAAACATCTTTTTTAAGTTTCTAATGACACAGTAGGAGCTCTGATACAAACACTAAAACACATTTTAGAGGTTGCATGGCAATTGGATTAAAGAGTCAATAAAAGAAAAAGCAGTTTGGGTACTTCAGGAAAAAACAACTCATCCTCACAATTTTTCTGCTGGACTGAGATTTCTGGAGTGGCTAAGCCCCTCCAGGACTGTGCTGTTTTCCTCAGTCACTTTTAAGCATTCCTCAGATCCTCCTCGACATTTGTCAAATATAATGTGCATTTCTCAAAATGTTTCATATAAACAGTAAAACACACTGCATTACCTACGGAAGCCAGTCTCTTTCACAAAATCCCCAGTTCATCTCTCCAGAATAAATACCTGTCAATAAACATGTCAGTGTCATTTGAATGACAAATCATTGTGTCTTTGTGAACAGATAAGACAGCCAAATTGCTTAGTCATGTTCTTTATATAACAGCGTACTCTGGGGGATATTTTGAGTTAAATTCCAGCTAAAGTTTTGATGACAATTATGGCAAGTTGTAATAGTGACAGATTATGTAATGGGAAGATTTATATTTACCCTTTCAACGTCTGCACTGTACTGTAAAAGACAGCAGTGTAGAGCTAAATAAATAAATACATAATATGCATACAAGAGATTGGAAAATATGCCAATATTATTTTATTTATTTTTACTTTTATTATTCAGTTATTTTCTGAAAATAAAATAACCTGATGTATGTCAGGTCGTCATCTGCCTCAGCTACGGTATATATTTTACAGCTTTTGATTAATTTTTGATTAGATTTTTTGATAATTAATTTTTACCTCCATTTATCGTTCCATGAGCACTGACTGGTCTTAATCACAGAAAAGAATGCCCCAGTATGCTGCTGCCACTGCCATTGTTCAATGTGACTTCAGCACTTTTCAAGCACACAGCATTTTGCAAAGTTATCTTCTGAACAGAGCACCTCAATACAATCCTTCTTAAATGCACACTCTGTTTTTTCAAGCTATAAATTCTTGCCCCGAATCAAACAGTTCATGAACCTGTCAGTTTACACCACTTTTGGTTCTATGTGGTGGAGGACAGATCTAATAGCCATGTTCTCTCTTTGTTTTTGGACAATGGATCAGTTCACACAAGTTGTCTGATTTTAAATACTACTGGCATTTAATAATTTTGTGTATTATAAATGAAGTAGGCTGTACTGAATTTTATTAAAGGGCATATGAATAAAAGATGATACATATTCCTATAGAATTGCATTTAACTTATGAAATAGACTGATGTAAGGTTGAGATTGGATAAATAAATGTTTCACAATTACATTGTATTGTAACAAGTGATAAGAGAGTGGCTTAGAAGTAAATTATTTTTTTTATTTACTTCAGAAACTTAAAATGTTGTTACAGTCCTTACACCCATTAGAATTCACCATCATATGGCGCTTCATCCGCTGCATTATGTTACTGTAACCCAATCCAACTGGATGCAACTTTTGAGAGACTGCAGGGGGAAAAAGCGGTTTGGCAACGGCCCTGCAATCTGTTGAATGTGGAGTTTGTTTTAGGAGTGAGAAAATATGTCATTTGGGGAGTCGTGGTTTATTCCAACGTAAGAGCGAGCGCACCAATAAGCGGCTTTCACGCTCCACCCTACCTGCCTCCTTCCAGCCCCCACCCTGCTTCCCCTTTTCCATCCACATACTCACTACTGAGCCCGACCTGCCGCTTTGCCACATCTGGACTGGAGACGCTTCCCAACACGAGAAACTTCAACTTTTTTTTGTTTGTTTGTTTTGATTTTTGTTGTTGATGCTTTGACTCTGCTAAATTATACCATAACAATCACTCAGGCGTTTTTGCGAATTATCAGTCCGTTAAGGTGATTTCTTTTCTGTCTGTCGATAGTAAGTAAAGATTGTTGAGTCTAAGCTGGCGTTTCTGTCTCGTCTTAGGTAAACAGAGTCTCGGTTTGGGAGTTTCATACATTCAGTTTTGTGTTAGATTGCCACGCTTTTATTCAGTGCGCTGCACGTTTTCAGCCAATGACACACGATCTGCAGCATTTTGGTGGAGAAGAAACGAAGGAAAGCGAAACTCTATCTATGAAGTCTAAACACGCAGATTAAACACATGTACATTAGTAGTCGTGAATTTCACTCTTCGCTCTTGTCATAACATTGTTAATATTTACTTTTAAATGTGAAAAGTGAAGCGTGTCTGTGATCAGTGCGCTGAATGAATGCGTTGATGGTGACATGAGTCAAACGGAGTGAAGTTGTGAAATTCAGCAGACTCTGGTGATGGAGTGAGACAATTTGAGGTTTTATTTTATTTTATTATATATATAAAAAAGAATCATATTTATTTATTTATGTTTGCGTCTGACTCGGGAGGGGAAACTGGAAGAAACCAGTAGGCACAGAGCTCCATACTGAAGTGTTTAAGTTAGTCTGCGGGGAAATTTAAAAAGACCTAAAAATACAGCGTTGGTTTCTTCCCTACAAAGAATCATTTGAACTTCCCACCGCAGAGAGAGAGAGCGACATAAATAGTTCTGACATGTGGATGTAATTTCAGAAGTGAAAAAAAGGAAAAAAAAAAAAGACAGATGCGCAGAAATAAAGCGAGCGGGCTGAACCGGACCATATAGTAGATTATAGGAAATTAAATCGAGGGCAGAGCGGGCGATTAGAGTTATGATTTCACAAGCAGCCAAGAGCGTCGAAGGGCCAGATGGAGTGAAAAGACGCATCACGCTCCACTTTGAAGAGAGTTAAGTAGATTAAATAATTGCTTTCTGAGCTCCATCAGCTGTGTGTTTGAATGACTCTCACTCTTGGAGGTAGAGTTGCCTCAGGGTCAGGGATGGGATCTTCTCTGCAACTCCATAATCTGGACTTTCTTCTCATCTCACTCCTCAGCAGCCTTTGCCTGGTAAGTCATTCATTTACTGTCTACAGTGTAATTAGCGTCATTTTGCTGTGATGTTGCACATGTGAAGCGTGGGGGTCCAGATGTGCTTCCTCTGCGCTGTGACAGCTTGTCAAACACAGAGAAGTCAAAGTATCAGCAATTGCAATTCTCTCCACATGTGTTTTGCATTGGGAATATTGAGGAGCATTTAACTAGGTTTTAAGGAAGAGTTAATTAAGCAACCCTAAGTACTGCTGGTGTTGTCATTGGTCTTAATTTCTAATAAATCTCCCCATTATGAATAGGAGTCTAGTTAAACTCTCTTTCCTCCAGAATTAGAAAAAAAGGAAATTGACTTTTTGCTCAAATGACTTCAGTGTAATTTACTAAGTCTGTGCTGCATGTCATAGTTGAGTAAATAGAGGAATTGCAAAATACTCCTTCCAAACAGTGGACATTCACTGTTTATATACCTTTTTAACCAGTGTCCAGGGGTGGGTTTCAGTGACTGGGGGCCTCTGGGCTAAGACTATATGAATATATATTACACAAATTTCTCTCACCCATGCAAATTGCAATAGAGTAATAGAGTATAGGGCTTCTGCTTGTGAAAAACTATTTTTCCAGAACACTTTTGGATTTGTAAAAAACATTGCTTCAAAAAATATAGTCATCCATACAAAGCAACACACAAATGTAAAAGTGTGCCTGCTCTGTATGTCGCGATGTAACACAGACACTGAAACACACCATAAACAAAGAAAGCAAAACTTGCTGTTGTGATGTTATTTTATGTATTGTTTTTAGATAAATGCTTGTTGGTATATGAAAATCAAACACATTAAAACACAGTTCCATATGCAATATTTTCTTTTCAAATAAAATACAGTATGAAATTTTTTTAATTATTGCACTTGCAAAAGTCCAGCGAAGCCATGAGCTTATCTTCATTTTTCTTTTTTTAATAAATTGTGGCTGTATTTATTTAGAATATTCTGAAATCTAATGTGTAATATAATTGAGTTGCATGTTTTTTTTTTTTCATCAAAACTTGCTACTGCTCAACTCAACTTTTATTTTGTTTAATCATTTTCAAGCTCATGGCAACCTAAAAGGTTTTAATAGACGTGCTGTAAAACTGGCTCGTCTTACACTTGCCAACTTTTTCTTGCTCATCAACTTTGAGGACAAAATGTTCACTTGCTGACTAATATTTCCCACCTACGAACAGTTGGGATGATGAGTAGATAATCCCTATTAGCCTCTTAACCCACACTGCTTTAAAACCACTGTAGGGAAGCTACAAGCAGCATGTCTGATAAGCAACTGGCTGCAGGCTAGGTGTCTGAGGAGATAGCCTGACTAATTAAACCAGCAGTTAGGTTTAGTGGCTGTTTCTGCTTTGTTTTTGGTAAAAAAAAAAATAGATTCGAAACAACATAAAGAAAAAAAAATATGGGTAATGTTTTCTTATTTGTATGAGTACAATAAACATGTTGCATTATTTTAGCAGGAGTTGGAACAACATGATTTTTGATTTAATTAAAGCAATTCTAAAATGTTATCTTCTTTTTTCTTTAAATTCTTTTTAAAGATGATGATTGAGTGAAACTGTATTATAGTTACTCACAGGGGCGCCATGTGGGGGGAAAAGTGATGACAATTCAAAGGGCCCTTGACCACAGAAGCCCCCACAAAAAAAAAAAAAGAAAAAAAATCGGGGTCCTGTAGGTATCATAGGGCCCCATAGGGCTTTCTCTGTGTCTTTGCACTTTTTACGATTACACAACAAAAACAATTTATTTGTTGCTGACAGAAATTCAAGCAATCTTTATAAAATGACAAAAAAAATAAATAAATAAATAAATAACAGCCTCCTATCTGGTCTGCAGCTAATCCACACAATTTTACCTTGGCTTGCATCTAAATTACAGATATCTATTGCCCCATCCCTCCTTACCCATATTCTCCTTAGAGAAATTAAAGCTGCAGTATGTAACTTTTATAAAAAAATATATTTTTTTACATATTTGTTTGAACTGTCATTGTGTTGTGACAGTATGGCATGAGAGACAATTTGGGAAAAAAAAAAAAAAAAAAAAACATTCTGCTTTCTTCCAGTGCTATCTAGAAACAACCAATCAGAGGTAGGAGGTGGGTTTTAGCACTGTCAATCACAATATCCTGTCGCTGCTCATCCTCCCTCCCCCTGCAGCTATACAGCTTGTTGTGAATGCTCAGTCTAGTTAGCGTAGCTACCAATGACAGCAGATAAGCAATTTTTCTGTAACAATAAGTTGTTTTTCCATTATTAGCACATTTAGCAGCAAGTGAATGAAGTTGATTAACAACACTAGGACCCTCCTCCTGGTTCTGATTGGTTGTTTTTGGTCAGAACGTTGCATTACTTTAGCTAACAACACTTTAGCAACACATTGCATTACTTTAGCTAGTAGTTCAGGGAAGAGGTGGAGGAGGCAGATTTTTTTTATCTGTTTCATAGCAAACCATCATGACATGGTAACAACTTTAACAAATATAGAGGACGCATATTTCTTTATTAAAGTGATATACTGCAGCTTCAATAAACTACAACTACATATTATATTTTGAGAAGTCTGGATTGTTTTATGTATATTTTGCACGTTGTCTGTGATTGTTGCAAGTGAGAAGAGGCATTTCAATGTGATAAAACTAATAATAAAAACATTAAGCAACCTATTTGGATGCAGTATGTGGACTGTTGCATGTAAAATTCACTAGCAGTAAAAATTGTGCCAGTATCATTATTGGACCAAAGAGAGCAAGGCAGTTGTAAGCCTTTAAAATTGTCATGCTTTTGATGGGTCAGATAAGAAACTGTAACAGTAGTTGTACGGGAGGGGCGCTCAATCTAATTTTTTTGTGATGGGTCCCAAGATTCCTGGCGACGTCCCTGTTTACTCAAGCTTAATAGGCAATACTTGCCTATGCCTAGTGATCCAAGTCTTGTTCCATTTTGTGTTTCCTTCCTCTAGCAATAAGTGAAGGAGTATCTAGCTCCTGTTGGCAAATAAATCATTTTAAAGCTCTCACCTGGCTAAACTGTGATTGTCAAAGTGCTTCATTTCTGCAGTCTAAATTCCCATTTGTGTGGTTTACTTTAACACAGGATACTGTGACTTATAAATGCCTTTTTAAATATTGTCATAGCTGTATCTATAAAGTCTGCTGCATGCACACACAGCGTAGGCAGAGCAACACACTGTGTTGGTTTTGTGTGTTTTGGCTAAAGCTGTTGTGCATTCAACAGGCAGTTTGCCCAGTCTCTGAGGTACAGTGCATTTTCCCAGTGATGTGGTTCATCACTGCGCCACAGTGGACCTCTGAGCTCAGTGGCAAAGATGGCACAAGAAAACAATTAAATGAAACTGTATTTATAGCTGGTTCAACATTTAGCTGCTAAAAGGCTCTGTCTGTGAATGATGTTTACCCATTTTTATGTTAGGTGTTTGCTCAGTCTTTCCCTCCACCCTAAAAAAAAATAAGTTGTGGCCATCTAAACTTAGAGTGGAAAGTCTGGCTTTTGAAAGCTGAAATGAGACTTTTTGAGTTGAAACATCCACTTGTCAAATTGCCAGATTATGCCTTCCAGGGGCTCTGTATTGAAGCGAGAAAAATCTGGAGATTACAAGCTGAAATCTAAACGTCGGAAAACATTTTGACATTAGCATCTTCACAGCATATTTATCTAAATTAACCAACAAGAGTTGTGTAGTACCTATTATTGTGTCTTACATCTCAGCAGTTAAGCGGCAGTGACATCCAACAGACGAAGCATTAGCTCACAGCACCTTTGTTCGCTGTGACAGGCTGCCTCACTCTATTATTACATTTATTAGGAGGAAGCAGAGCTTTCAGGAAACCTTAGTGGGGATTTAATTTCTACCTCATGACTGTGTTTTCCTCCGTGATGACTTGCATGTGTCTGGATACTCAGAGTGGATTTGAATCTGCTTGCTGCAAGTTTTGTGTAAGGGCTAGATTGACAATACATAATAGCAAAGAATGTCAGCTTTTGTTATGATCTGGGCAAAATTAATCTTCTTTATTCGTTGTTCATAAAAGCAGGCTTAGAAACCATGATGAAGAAGTTTAATTGGAATTATATTGCTAAACTTCCACAATGCTCATATTAATACTTCAGATGATTATCAAATAAAATAAAACTAGTCAAAAGAAAATATTTATTTTCCCAGTTAAAAGTAGAGTAGAAGCTGGACAACATGATACGTTTTACTCCATGGAATTATATTTGTATTTTACAGCTTTGTCAAAATGAATCCAACAGAACAAAGGTACACAAATAACTTTTTTTTGTTCTAAAGCAGTAATGTCAAAGCTGCTAAAATTCATACTTCCATGCCCAGCATAATAACATTTTCTGAAGCTTTATTCATTTGTCAGATTTTCCCCAACATAATTTTAGAATGCAGTTTACAGTGCTGGATAATCTCTTTTCAATCTGTCTCTGGTAATTAGACTCAGCAGATATTTCTCACTAATTTGAAACGAAATGGGGGGAGTATTTGTAAAATGGACTTTCATATTAAAATTCATTTTTGCATGCCTTTTGACTGATATCCAATATGACCTATGCTAATTTTTCCCCCCACTTGTGTGTGTTTGTATGGAATGTGTGAGTGTATCTGAAAGAGCAAGGCATGAAATATCCTCATTAATGTATTCCCCAAGTCTGTTTTTCACTCAGTGATGTTGATGAAACAGCTGAGACTGCAGTCTGTTTGATTGCTTCTTTTGATTGGTCCTGGTTGTTAGCTTTCAGTACAATTAGTCTGCAGGAAGAAAAAAAGCAAAAAGTCTGAATGCTCATTATATTCCAGGTAATTTATTCTTAATTCAAATTATATTAATTATAATTATTTGATTCACATATATTCACATATATAGTTATAACATTTTTAGACAGATTTCTTTCTTTTTTTTAAATTTTGAAGTGATGATATAGTTTTACAATTTAG